CTCTAAAAATCGTTGTCTCCTCGTGACAGCAAGGCATTTGAGGCTTGAGAGCATCGTGGTCCTGTCCTGTGGGTAGGACTGCCAGTCTCTTGCCTCCTGTCTTACCTGTTGGGTGAGGTTTCTGCTTCGCTTTTGCCCACTGGGAGCCACAGGGTTGAAGCTGTACTGGCCTTGGCTTGCTTTCTTCCTTTTTTTTTTTCCCCTTTCCTGTTTCCCTGTACTCTTTGGATGCCCTGCCGTCCCTGGATCTTGACACGCTTGCATTCTTTCTGTCTTTTTTTTTTTCTTTTTTTCTTAAATCTTGATATTTCTTCTTCACATGGTCAGCTTCTAGCCTGCCATATTGCCACAGAATTTTCAAGTTATTTTTCTGTGGGAGGTTTCTAACTGTTTCATGGTTGGAAAACTTAATCTGTGCTGTTGATCTGGAGATAAGACAATGTTGTGAGCTTTGTGTCTTGTTATGTGGCCAGTTTGTGTGTCATTCATGTTTGGAAATGGCTCATGCACTGTGCTTGAGGATTATAAAGTTGCACATGCCCACATATGCGCGAAGTATAGTTTGGTCTTACTATTATCCATCTCTATCTTTTTTTCTTTCTTTATCGTCTTCATCTGTTAGCACCTTAGAACAGAAGTTTTCCTCTATAATGGTCAGTTTTTCTGTTTCTACTTATTCTGTAGTTCCTCCAGATTAACAGTGTACTCTTAGATAGGTGTCTGTTGTTGGAAGGATTCCTTTCTGATGTTAACCTGGCCCTTTTAGCTTTCTTTGTTGTTTATATGTGCTATCCCTTCATCTCAGCCTTTCTGTGTGTTTCTGATAACTAACATTAAAAAAAATCATATATGAAAGTCTGCGTCTTTTTATTGGTGCATTTTAAATATCTTTTAATGTATGTATTGATTTTTGTTCATTTGGTATTTGGGGTACCTGTTTCCTTATGCTTTCTTTTAACCAAATGTTTTGCCTTTTTTTCTCTCCATATTTCTAACGATTGGAACCGTCTTCTTTTGCTTGCCAGCTTTGCATTATATCTTTTAATTAATTTTTTTCTTTGCCTTTTTTTCTTTTTGTTGTTGGTTGGTTGGGTTTTTTTTCTTATTTGTTTGTTTGTTTGCTGTCCAGGAACTCAGTATTTAGACCAGGTTAATGTCAAACTCAGAGATACACCTGCTTCTGCCTCCTGAGTGCTGGGATTAAAGATGTGCACCACAACACCTGGCACTTTTTTCAGTTTTTAAAAATTGTGTGTGCATAGGTGTTTTGCCTAATGTATGTGTGTGCACCACATGCATGCAGTGTGCTCATTGAGGCCAGAGAAGAGAGCATCAGGAGCTAGAGCTAGACTGCTCTGAGCTGCCGTGTGGGTGCTGGGGCTTGAATCCAGGCCCTCTGGAAGAGCAGCAGCCACTGACCATGACTGTTGGTCATCTCTGCAGCCCCTTATCTTTTACAGGGTGGGGGTGGGGAGCAAGCATACACTTGTGCACAGTGTACAGTGGAGGTCAGAGGTCAGCTTTTTCCAGAGTCTTTCTTCCTTCCACCTTGCTTTGAGGCAAAGCCTTCTTTACTGTTTCTGCCACTGTGCTGCGTATTCCGGGCTGGGTGGCCTGTGCACTCTGGCTGATTCTCCTGTCTCTACTTTTGACCTGCGCTGGGTTTGCCTTACAGAGATATGCCTCTGCATTCAGCTTTCTATGTGGGACATGGGGTTCAAACTCAGGTCTTCAGGGTTCTGTGGCAAGTGCTTTTGAGGGTAAGCCATCCTCCCAGGCAACATTTTATTTCCTACTGGTTAATTGTTCCTAGCTCATTAATACCCTTTTCCTTTCTCAGTAAATCTAGTCTTTTCACTTAATGCAGCCACCGCCATTCTGTTTGCTCCTTCCTACCTTACTCACCAAAGGAATTGTGCCCAATTCTTGACTTTGGAATTACCCTGAATATTATCTGTGTCATGGGCCTGGTTATTATAAAGTTATGATAGGATACTTCAACTTGCATGGGTCACACAACACTGTCTTGCGTTTGTCTCTTTTGACTGTGGTGTTTCCTCTCAGGGAGTTCTGACTGAAGGCATTCATGTAGTAAAAACTTCTCAGAATGTGGGCAGTTGGGAACAGTTTTCTTCTTTGTTATACTTAAGCGCTAGCTTCCCTGAACATACAAATCTAACTTCAGAGGCTTTTTTTCCCCTTAACACTTTGGAAGTATTGGTTCGTAGGTTCCCCAGTCTAGTGTTTCTAGGGAGAAACTATTGCAGTTGGGGCCTTGTTCCCTAGGAGACATGTTCTCACTGGAAGTTTTAATAGCATTATTTTCTTTTTAAATTTTTTTTTCAATTTTTGCTTCAGTGTTTATAAATTTTATGATCACTATGAGTAGGTTTTCGTTTTCTTCAGCCACATATTTGGGATACCAGGTGGTTGATCACTGTTTCTGTGCTCTCTAATCCCTCTTTAATAATGCACATTTCTCAGTTCTTTTCCAAAGGTGCCCCTCAACTTTTTTCTCCTGCAGGGGCAGGGGAACAAGTCCTGGCCCCTGACCTCTGTTCTGTCCCTTTCATCTGGCTGCTGCTTTAACCCTCACCTTGCCCTTACTAATTTTGCTTGCAGTTTTTTATTCTTTAGCCTGACCTTTTAGATTGCTGGTTTATTTTGAATCAATGTTTCTTACTATTTTAACCTGCCTGTTAAAGCACAGGAGGCTTAAGAGGATTGCTTCTGCAGCTCTTATGTATAGAATAGGGACATCCATGCCGAGGTACTGATTTGCTTTTGAGGGCCCGGGTTCTAGTTCATGTGGGGTACTGAGAGCAGTACTGTTTATAGTAATCAAGGGCTGGTTTTCTCCTGTGTGTGTTTTTCATGCTAGCGCTTCCCGCTTGGACCTTTATAACCGAGTGTTCTTGCTCATGTTACTAGTTAAAAAAAAAAATCCTCTGCCCTTTTTAAGGCTGCTTGTCTTTTTGGGGACATCTGTTATGTTCAGTGGGCGTTCTTGTTTTCCTGTCCGTTGCCTCTGCTTTCTCTGTCACGAGCAGTCCTGCCAGTGGCCTTTGTGTGAGTGGCTCTAGTCTCCACATGTCGAGTTACTGTGTTTGTATTTCCTGGGGAATACAGTGTTTCTAGGTTAGTGAAAGGGCTGGTGTATGGCACAGTGGTACTACAGCGGTGCGATGCTCCAAAGCCCCCATCCATACACATGCACACATCTGCCATAAGAACCTGATAGGGAAAGGGATGATGGGAAGACCAGAGGGGAAGCCTGGGTTTTGTTGGGATTTAGGGAAGACAGGCGGGAGAGCTCTGGCGGACTGTCCTGGGCTTTCCCCACCGCACTAGACACTGTCTTGAGGGGCCTCTGCATCCCGCACCCAGCCCCATGTTTTCCAAGCTTCGAATTCCTCATTTGTGGTACTTCACTGTGGTTGTGGGTGGGAGGAGCTGAGGATGCGGCTGGATGGATAGGAGGTGGTCGGTGGCCACCCTGCCCACAGCAGCACTGTCTGGTCCCTGCCCTCAGCTGTGTGTAAGTACCACCTGCTGCTACAGCCATGTCTGTGCAGCTTCCGTGGGCCACACTGCCCTGTGTCCGCATTGCTTTTGCTGCCTGGGAGCCCGGCTCCCCTGAAGGGATGGTAGAGGAAGCTGCACATCGCCACCTACCAAAGCTCCCCCCTCCCCAAGCTCTCCTGTGGACCTAGGCTTTCTTACTCTCTGCGCACATCTTTCTGCACACTTTCTATCCAGACGGGGCTTCTTGCCAGGGTCATGTCTGTTTCTTGAGTCCACCTTTTCTTGTGGCTACGTGTGTGTGTGTGTTGTTTCTATACTGAAATCCACATATATCAAACTTCTTGTTAGCATATGTATGTGTGGTACTCATGTATATAGGTATGTGTGTTCACATGTGTGTGAGAGAGCACATGCTCGTGTGTGGAGGCCTGAGGTTACTGTCAGATGTCTTTCTTGATCAGTCTCCACTTTATATCTTGACGTATGGTCTCACACTGAACTCAGAGCTCAGCCATTCAGCTAGTTTGACTAGCCAGGTTGTTCTAGAGATAGGAACCCCCTATCTCTACCTCCCCTGTGCTGGGATAATAGGCCACATGCCCACCTGGTTTTTAGTATTACATTCATTCGTTCGTTCATTCATTCATTCATTCATTCATTCATTCATTCACTCACTCACTGAGATAGTGTGTGTGTATGGGGGCTTGCAAGTGCCCCTGCATCTATTACAGAGCTTAGCAGACAATTTTGGTGAGCTCTCCTGTCTTAGCATGTGCATTCTGGGAACCAAACAAGCACCATTAGCTTCTAAGTCACTCGCTGGCCTCACACCTAGCTTTTTTCGGCAGGTTCCAGGGGTCCTGAACTCCAGTCCTCATACTTAGGTGACAGGCACTTTACGTATGGAGGGCCATTCACCAGCTGTCAGAGTGCTTTCTAAAACCAAAAAGTGATTCACAGTTTTAGGTAAATGCGCAGCTTAGTTCATCTTTGTTTACACTGGAGGATTAAGAGAATGAAATCAACTTTCAGAGAATGAAATCAACTTTCAGAATAATAATAATAAAAAAAAGTCTGTTGAAAGTGAGCCTGTATTCTCTCACTCTGGACCAGCAGTCCATTAGGGCTGCCTGGAGTGTGGGGTCCTGGCAAAGTGGGGTACTTTGCTGGGAAAGCCGTATCTCCTTCCTTGGTCTTGGGCTTTTTTAATGAGACGTGTTCTATTAAACTGTTTATTCGGGCAGTTGTGGTTGGACAGGTGAGGGCCGCCTGTCCTGTGCAGGAGGGAACATGTACCATGGAAGCTGAGAGCTGTGGTGGAAAGCGCCAGTAAGTGCGTGGCGCACATAAAGCACATAAAGCGTTTTGGCAGAAAAGAGGTCTTGGGTTGAGCGGCTGGCAGGAGGATGCCATCGGTCTGTGTCGTTTTTGCACTTAAGGCCTCCTTCTGATGTTTGTTTCTGTCCCCGCTGAAGATGCACAGTAACCGGAAGGGATTACTGCCAGAGCCAAATCCAGTACAGATTATGAAAAGTTTAAACAACCCCGCCATGCTACAAGTTCTTCTGCAGCCGCAGCTGTGCGGACGAGCGGCGAAGCCAGGTAAGCACTGTTTGTGCACTTGAGCAGACGGTCAGCAGGAGGTAAAAATCCCCGCGCCTTAAAACGCACTTGAGCTCGTCTGACTCTTTCCTAAGAACTGTTAATGCTTATTAAGCAGTTATCTGAGTGGGGACTGCGTGTTGGCTAATTTGCGGGTACAGTCTACTTCTGTACTTCCATTTTCTGTACCATTAGTAAATGTTACATATTAAACCCTGTTAAGCTCTTGGTTGCCGAGAACGTCCAAACCTGGTCATAATGGCACACCACTGTACTGTCACCTGCATGAACCCAGAGCACGGATCCTTTCTTTGTAATCATTTTAGTGGAATTACTTGCTGAATAGGCGAATTTGTTTCTCTTGTGTTCATCTTTCTCTGTTGGAGAGAACAGAGTAGTTTCCCCTTGTGCTTTATATTATCACTGTCCATTGACTGTTTGGCATTCTTTTTCTGGTATTTCCTTCTGAAACAAACAACCTTGCATAGACAAGATTTCTGTGTTAGTGTTAGGAGGAAATGATGCCTGTATTCAATGCTAAAGTTTAGAATAAATATATTTAGTGGGAGCTTTCTCAGATGTTTATTCCAGTTCAGTCCCAGCTGGCCAGATGCCAGCTCCTACACTAAGCAACACACGCCCACAAATTAAGGGCACAGCTCTTTGTGCAGCTGCCCCACTTCAAACCCTGGCCACAAGTTAACGATTCTCTGGGCTACCTGAACTTCTGACCAACTAGCTATACAAATTTGGGAGTTGCCAGGACCCTTCAGTTTGGTAATCTCCTAGAATGTGTCCTGGAATTCAGGAAAGCACCATCTTTATGATTACAATTTTACGAGAAAGGACCTAACAGGAACAGGTGCATGATAGACCCTTAGTGTGAGGATAGCTTCATGCAGTCAGGCCTAACAGTCTCCAGCATGTCACTGATGTACGAGCTTTCTACACGATTGTTGCTGACGATTTCATATGTGTGTATAAAGTATTCTGATTACTCTTTGCTTCCTTTAGTCCCCTTCCCACCCCTATCACCAGGTCCTATCTATATCAGCCAGTCCCTTTGCCAAACTCATGACTTTTGGTTTTATGACCTGTTTATTTGGGCCACCTGGGAGACCATTGGATTGAGACTATCTATTGGAGCCTGGCAGTGACCTCACAGCTGAAGCCAGCGAGTCTCCTTCTCCCTGAATTGATCAGTAGCAAACAGTTTGGCAGTAAGGGCTCGGGAGGACTTCCTGAGCCTGTCTCCCAGCCATGCCTGCTGTTGGCAGGACCATTCTTTTTTTTTTTTTTTTTTTAAAGAAAAGGTCTTTGTGTAGCCCTAGCTGTTCTAGAACTGGCTCCTTAGACCAGGCTGGCCTCAAACTCATAGAGATATGCCTGTTTCTGCCTCCCAGGTTTTGGATTAAAGGTGTGCACCACCGCTGCCCAGCTGGTGGGCCCATTCTCATGCCTACCCAGCGCAGGCATCTGTAGCTGCTGCAATGGTTATGTCTTACCCAGGAGATGACATTTCAGAGTCCTTTTCTGTCTTCCGTCTCTTATGTTGTTTTTGCTCCTTTTCCCACTGTGTTTCCTGAGCCTTCGAGGGGATGGAATAAAATGTCTCTTTTAGGGCTGAGCATCAATAAGTCACTTATTCTCTACACTCATGGGTCCACAAGTTTCTGCCTTGCCTTCATAACTGTCCACGCGAGCAGCACTTTTCTATGGATACAAATATTTAGAGGGTAGCTTGACACATTTGCTAGAAACAGTACTCGGTTTCCATTCTAGGGCTCCTCATCTCCCTGGCTGTGGGTTTTTGACCAGGCATATAGTATCAGGCATTGATTCCCTCCTGTGGATCAAGCCTCAAATCCAATCCCATAACAGGAATGCAGCGATTGCACAAGTGGCCTTACCCTGCAGGTCTATGAAAACTAGCAGCAGGGCGGAGCTTCAGCTCGGCTCTAGCTTGCTTTTCTTCTTTATTTCATGCATCCAGGCTATAGAGCATGTGTAGTCTGCTTTCTATTGTTAGGATAAACACCATGACCAAGAGAGACTTGGGGAGAAAAGGATTTAGTTGGCTTATACTCCCATATCACTGTTTCTTATCGAAGGAAGCCAGGACAGGAACAGGGAAGGAACCCGGAGGCAGGAACCGATGCAGAGGCCTTGGAGGGTTGCTGCTTCTGGCTTCATCAGGCTGCTTTCTTATAGAACCCAGGTCCACCAGCCAAGGGATGGCACCACCCACAGTGGGCTGGGCCCTCCCCATCTATCACTCATTAAGAAAATACCCTACAGCAGGGCCTTATGGAGGCGTTTCCTCCATTGAGTTTCCCTCCTTTGAGATAACTAGTTTGTGTGTCAGGCTGACAAAAGACTCCACAGCACACATGCTTTGCCTGTGCAGCTTTCGTCTTACATTCATACAGTGACCTGAGTAAGCCAAGAACTAGAGAGGAAATGGATGGAAATAGGGAGCAAAAAAGGTTGACAAGCCATTGCCCTGGTACTTGATCAAGAAAATGCCCCACAAGTGTGCCCATGGGACAGCTTTGTGGAAGCATTTTCTCACTTTTGATGTCCCTCTTTCCAGATGACTCTAGTTTGTGTCTAGATGACAAGACAATAAATACATAAATGAAAAATTTAAAAAACTAACTAGCACAAGGAGGTAACTCACCCTTGGTGTTGAGGGTTTTGTTTAATAAACTCACAGCTTAAGGGAGCAGCTTTTTACTTCCGTGGGGATACTGCTGTGTGGCAAACAATTCCCCCGAAAAGTATCACATCTAGATTTTGTAGGTTGTCCTAAAGCATGGTGTTCACAGACACGACAGCCTGCTGTTCGCTGGTGTTGACTGACACCATGCAGCAGTCCGCCATTCCTGGTACCACAGCTTCTCCCGATGCAGCCTAAGATGACTGTTGTGTTTAAAGACACGTACTGTGCTCTTTAGAGTTATGGTAGCCACGTCTTCGGATTGTGGGTATCTTTAATTATCCAACACTGCATATTTCCACTTCACTTTCCTACTTGGATTGGTTTGTGGTCATAGAGGAATATGCGTTTGTTTTGTTGATTTTTTTAAATTTAAAAATCATTTATATAGGGGATGGGTATGTACACATGAATGCAGATCCCTAGAGTTGGAGTACAGGCAGCTGTGAGCACCTGATACGGGACCGAACTCTGGTCCTCTGCACAAGCAGCATGTGTCCTTCATCACTGAGCCATCTCTCCAGTCCCAGGAGTGTATGTTTTTAACGTTTAATGTTACTGTCTCTGCTATAAGATGTGTTGATATTTACACGGATGGAGAAATTATTTCCTGGCTTTGTCTTTGTTTGGGCTGGTGAGAGAAGGAGCGTATATCCCCACCTTAGCAAAGGCAAGCTAGAGAATGTGTGCAAATTGCACTTTTGTATTTTCTTGGACAGTGGGAGGGTGCTGGGGAATTACTCCTTTCTAGATGGAGAGGAAATAGCAATAAGGATTTGTCCTTATTTACACCTACTTTTATTACCTTGGGTAAATAACTGGCCGTGGATTTAAATCATACGGTAGATGTATACTTAAGTTGTAGACTCCTTTTGCTCAGCGCCCTGACTCGCCTGTTGTATGTGGCACGTCTTCATTTGAACCTTTAGAGTGGGCAGATGTATGTTAACTTTAGAGTGTGTTGCTGTGCCTTTGCTTTGAGACAGGGACATACTACCCAGCTGGGAATACAGGCATGCCTTCGTGTGTTCTGGCACATGTACATTGTGAAAGCTATTACTAGGACCTTTTCTGAATGCTACTTTGTGATATATTATAGATGTCATTTTCCCATAACTATAAGTAGGTGAAATGAATCATGTGTTTTCTACTCCATGGTTCTTTTTTCTCAGTATATGATTTATTCTGAAAATACCTCTTCTGAAATGTATATGGTTTTTGGACTCAGAATTATGACCCTTTATTCCTCCTATGTCTATGTACAGTTCATTTCTTTGGATACAGGGTCTCATGTGTCATTCCTGGCTGGCCTGGAACTTGCTGGGTAGACAAGGCTAGCCTCAAACTCGAAACTGCCTGGCCCTGCCTCCCAAGTGCTAGAATCTGAGACGCGCACCACCATGCCCTGGTGTTTGTATTTACATTGAATCTTAGTTTTAATGATGTAAGAAGTTCTGCACATGGATACTATCTTTTCTACGGGATTTTCCTTAAGGTTTTTAAAGGTGAGGGTAGCTTGGTGTTTGAGACTTAAAGAAAATGCTAGAATTCTAAAGCAAGTTCCAGCATTGAATTGTAAAGAAAGGAGTGTGTCACTCTCAGCCAGTAGGCGATGAAACTTCCTGGGCAGGTTAAAGGCTGTGAAGGAGATGCTTTGGAACATGTTGTGTTTTTCATTTCTTGTGTCACACAGTCAGTTTTGCTTTGACTGACTCAGCTCTTCTCTGCAGTTCTCGGAGTCGCACCCAGCTTGTCTCATCTGCTGAGTCCGTCCCTCCCCTCCGCGCTGTTGCACTTCAGTAAAGCACAGCAGGTTTGTACACAGCACTGGGTACTGAAGCACTGAGGACCTGGAGTGAATACTTTCATCTCCCCCAAACGCTCACGACAGGATCTTACACAGCTCAGGATGACCTTGAACTCCTAATTCTCCTGCTTCCATCTCCCAAGGGCTGGGATTACAAGTGTGCCAGACCTTGTCAAGAAGTTACCTGAGCATTTTGCTTTTTAAAAATATCCTGCCTGCCCTCCACCCTTTGTGGTCTGAGGAATTGTTCTAGAGTTTATTGGTGCTGGTAAGTGCTCTACTGCTGGAGTACTTCTCCAGCTTTCTCTATTTTAACTTTTGATTTTAAGATAGAGTTTTACTGTAGTTGCCAGGGCTGGCCTTGAACTCAAACTGTCAGTGGGTAGACCATGAACTTGTCATCCTCCTGCCTCAGCCTCCTGAGTACCTGGAATTATAGGCCTTGCAACTAGACCTGACAGAGAACATCTTTAATAAGAATAGCTCCATAAAAATCACAAGATGTCTGTTTGTAATCCAATGCTGATGAAAACAGTAAAGATACATTTACCAGCTCTTGTAGAGTATTAAGAACAGAATACTTATTTTGTGGTATATTTTTGATAGACAATGAGTAGGGTTTTATGCGGGAGGCAGAGATAGGCAGAATGTGTGCCATGGGTGTGCGTGGGTCAGAGGACAGCCTTGGGTGTCAGCCCTTGCCTTCTACTCTGTTTGAGGCAAGGTATCTGCTGTTTGCTGCCGCATATGCCAGGCTGGTGAGCAGGGTCTCGGGTTCTCTCTTCTCCATCTTCCGTCAGAGGGCTGGGATTCCAGGCTGGAGGTTTTTGGGTGGGTTTGTGGGATTCAGACTCTGAAGCATTTCCCAGTCAGTCTTAAAGGAGTAGTTTTTAAAACAACTTTTTATGTTTTAAAGTCTGAACTCTAGACAGATTTATAGACAGAAATGGGCAATAACTCTTAATCTTTAAATTTTAATCTGTGTTATAAAATAGTCTCCATGTTTGTGAGAGTAAAGAATGCTTTTCTTACGTCTTCCGGTTAAGTGTGCACTTAGACACGAGTATCTGACATATTGGAAGTGACCGTTACTTGTTAATTCAGAATACAAAGCTACACAGACGTGTGCACAAGTCAGTGTTATTCCTCATACAGGGTGGAAGAAGAGTGCAGTGCCACGGGCAGCCCGGCTGTTTCGGTCTTTTGAGACAGGGTCTTGCTAAGTAGCCTAGGCGGGTCTCCAACTCGGGATCCCCCTGCCTCTGCCTGCTGGGCACTGAGATTAACGCTGTGCACCACTTCAGGTTATAAACTCAGCTTTCTAAAGGGAAAGCAGGAAGAAGAAGAGCCGCACCTGCTACTTTTCTGTTCTGTGATAGAAGGATGCCCTGAGAAGGGGTTTATTTTGGCTTCCAGTATCAGCGGCAGAGCGTCTACCTGGTGTGGAGCACATGAGGTCAGAGGAGGCGTGGTGGCAGGATTAGGAAGTGGACTGCTCACATTTCAGGTCCAGGAAGCAGGAGAAAGGAAAGAACAGGAAGTGGGGCGAGGCTGTACACTCATAAATCTGCAGGGACTCACTTCCTCCATCAGCCAGCACCTTTCTGAAGGTTCTAAACCATGCCACTAACCAGAGAACATATCTTTTCCTTTGCATCTCTGCCATCTCAGGACTTGGGACAATACAGCGCCTTTCCTCATTCACTCCACATCTTTTACTGAGTGATCATGTGCTTGATGCTGCCGCCATTAGGGCTACAGCTCTGAACAAAACATCCTCACAGTCTCTGCTGTTTCAGAGTATGAAGTCAGGTGTGACTGCTTGAACCTGTGATCCTAACACAGGGGAGGCCAAGGCTGGAGGATCACTGCCTCTAAGACCAGCCAGGGCCACATAGTAAATTCCAAGCCAGCCTGGGCTGCGGAGTGAGATTCTGTCTCAAAACGGTAAAAACCCACAACAGAACAGTAGGGAAGCCAGACGTTAATGCCAATCAAGTATGAACGGTGATAGGAAGAGAGAGTCAGATCACTGACAGCATCCCCTGTGCATTAGGGCGGAGGTTCTCATCCTGGGGGTCCCCACCCCTTCGGGGATCGAATGAATGACCCTTCACAGGGGTCCCATATCAGATAGGTACATTATGATTCATAACAGCAAAATTATGGGTATGAAGTAGCACAACTGTGGGGTCCCCACAACAGGAGGAGCTGTATTCAAGGGTCGCCGCATTAGGAAGGTGGAGAGCCACTGTGCTGGAGAAAAACCAGAAATGCAGTACTTGCCTTTAAGGCCTGCAAGTCCTGTATCTCCAGAGCTCATTGCCTCACACTGTCGTGGAAGTGTCGCCTCACTCCTCCAGGGTCCGTCTTCTTTAGTGGGAGTGTCCTTTCTGAGTACAACCTAACTGACCCAGGGTTTCCCAGACAGCCTTCAGATCTCAGCACACAAGCTAGGCCCTCAAGAAAGCCTCCCTTGAGTCTTCCGGTCTGAATAAAATTCCCTGGTCTTTGTTCATGTATCTGCTTTTTTTTTCCCCCTCATAGTATTGTTATTTGTAATCTTGTTTGTTTCTATATTTAAAGTCTCCTTTAAATATATGACACATAGGAACAAATCATATGACATTTCTCATGAGGTAGCACACTATCCTGTTCATAAAATGTATGCAGCAAATCTTGCCAAGTGATCAAATCAATAAATAAATTTGTATCTGACCATCATTAGAGCCAGGAAAGGGGTGAGGGGAGGAAAGGATGACAGGACTGTGGAATTGCTCTCCTAACTGCATATTAGGTAATACAACCCGAGGGGGAAAGATTTCTATTAAGTGGTTCGTTTTTGTTTTTTCTTTCAAGACAGCGTTTCTCTGTGTAGTAGCCTTAGCTGTCCTGGAACTCTCGCTGTAGACCAAGCTGTCCTCAAACTCAGCGATCTGCCTGCCTCTGCCTCCTGAGGGCTGGCATTAAAGGCGTGTGCTGACCATCTGGCTAAGAAGTGGTTTCTCTTTTCCAGACTGACTTGAGAATTGACCTTTAAGAGGAGCTGATTATACAACAAATAGTTCTTCAGAGTGTAACTAACTTCGTGTCTCATCAATTCCACAGAACTCGGCTGTGGGTACCGCCTCGCCCTTACTCCTTCAGAGTCTGTCTCACATACCCCTGGTACAGCCACAGTTGGTGAAGTTTGACAGTGCCCACACCAACAACGTAAGTGTTTCTTCCCTTCCACAGACTCAGCCTGCTGATGAGGTGCTGGAGCTGCACGCGTGTATCTGTCTCTAGTGGGCTGTGTGTTTCCACCTCGGGAAACTGTCTTCCTCTCTCCGATTCTTCTGCAGAAGCCTGGCTTGCTGGGAGAGCCTCCTGCCATGGTGCTGCAGCCTGCCCTAGCAATAGGGTCAGCGCTCCCACTGAAAATGGACCTGGGACAACATGGAGAAGCACACAAAAGTAAGTAACCTGTTTCCCGAGAAGTCCTTCATGCTGTCAGCTTTCAGACTTGAAGACAGTTTACCTCAACCCCTCTCTTATTTATAGGACGATTAAATTTGAATCTTGGTCATTTAAAATTTCAAGAGCCCCATTGCCTTGTCTGGTTTTGATATTGATACGTTATTAATGGGTTTGCCTCCGTGCCAAGATGAGACGGTCCCTGCTGGATGGGCTTTAATATTTTATGAAGGTTCACAGCAGTGCCAGGAGAAGACATATCTCCATTTGACGCCGACACGCCGTCCGCTGGGCTCATGTCTCATCTCCATTTCAGTTCCATCGAGTAGAAAGTCCCCAGCCCTTATAAAAGGAATAGCCAGCGCTTGCAAGTTAAGTCTTGTTGACTTGAACCATTTTTCTACTTGGAGGAAAACTGACACACATGCTCTGGGCACATGATAGGCAGACATTTTTATTTTAGAAAAATAATTTTAGAATTATTTAGAAAAAAATTTTAGAATAACAGGGTTTCTTATTTTATTGTAAGTTAGGAAATAATATTATGCCAGCTTTTTAAAAAAATTATAACTTAGGAAAGCACTTCCGGTTTGAAGCTTGATTGAAGGGTTTGCTTTGCACCACTGGTACTATAAGTTCTACAAGCATAAATAACACATTTAGTCTCTTGCACATACAAAGTTGGCTAACCAAATGACCAAATAACTCAGTTGATCCTGACTGTTGAAGGTGACCAGGCAATGGCTAAATTGCCAAATAATAATAATTATTATTATTTATTATATATTTATTATTATTGTTTGTTTGATGGGGGTCTGTCATTCTATAAACTTTGATTCTATGACTAAAAGCTACAAAAATGTTCATCTTAATGTTAGATAATGGGTACTTTTGTATCACATTTGCTGTTTTAAGAATGCTGATAATTCACTGTCTAAATAAATATATTCCAAAAGATGGAGGAGCCAGGGCTAGTTCTCACCCAGCTAACAAACCCGTTCAGTGAATTCGTAAAATGGAAATTTGATTAAGTCATCGAGATGAACTGTTTCAGTTTCTTTTCGGCCTCTTGCCCAAGCTGATCTTGAACTTGTGAGTTCAAGTGATCTTATTTTAGCTCCGGAATAGTTGGGAGGTACACGTCGCCGTGCCTGGCTGACATTTTTATTTTTAATTTTAGAATTGCATGTTCACTTACGGGGGGGGGGGGGGGGGGCAGGGCTCCCTATGTGCCCTCGTGTCCAGGTGGAATGTTGAGGACAGCTTGTGGGAGTTGGACCGCTTCTTCCCTGTGGGCCTCAGGATGTAAACTGAGGCTGTGGCCAAGCACAGCCTGTGCTGAGCCATCTCAGCAGCCCCGACAAAATGATTTTTCAAACAAAAATGATACCTAGTTTTCCTATGAAAACTTTCTTTCCAGGATTTTTCTCCTATAAATAAAAATATGTAACTTACTAATTTATTCCTGTGCATTAACTTCAAGGCCAACAGGGGCACAGTAGCGTTTACATACCAGCTCTTTCCACTTAAAAGTAGTGCCATTTATATTATTTGTGGCTTTCCGCACTTAAATCTTCAAACCACTGTCAAGTTCAGTTGTCCACAGAAAGGCACTGAACTCAAGTTGAAGAGAAGGGTGCTGCCAGCGCCCAGCAGCTGGTGAAGGCTCACCAGCCGGGCTACTTTGGGATCCGAATTAACCTCAGGAAATGCTGAAGAACTCTCTAAACACAAGGATCAATTACTGTTTGCAACTATGGGAGCAACCAAATCGCAATGGTTGGACATGTTTAAGTATTAGTGTAATTTAATTGTCAAAAAGAGACATGTTTCTACAGTAATAATTAACTCTATTATCAAAATATAATATTGAGGTTATCATAGCAGTTAGTGAAAACTTAAAAAGCATTGTTGATGTCAGTTTTTGCTTTTCTGTGAGTTTGTAACCTTTGCCCTCGTCTCTTGGATGTCTCGGACCTCTCGGAGGCGCAGAAGGGCCTACTGCGCCTTGCATAACCAGGGTTCTTTTGCCTCTGTGGTTCACTACAGCATCTAATCTGATTCCACCTCAAACGACCCTGGCAGCCGGGCTGGGCATGTTGCCATTCTTCCCACAACAGCTCCCTGCTGGGCAAGCCAGGCCGGGGCGTGGGACCCCTCAGGAGAAGCAGTCAGCCTCAGCGAGCATCAGCGAAGCTACTTTCTCGGGGTTGAAGCATTATCTGCAGACCTTCCCCGGCCTTCCCACTGGAGGCCCACTGACAGGTCACCAGAAGACACAGCAAAGCCAGCCAAAAGGCACAGAGGTAGGTTCAAGGGCAAGGAAGCACACAGAGAAATGGATATTCCCATGGCTGCCCCTCCTCTCCTTTTAGACCCTGAATTGTGGCATTGTTCCGCCTTATTCAGTTGGTTGGTGTTTGGTGACTGTCCCACTGTGGTTTCAGCATCTTCTGATCTGAGACTTCTCTTGAGCTACTGTGAATTTGTTAAGGGTTTAATTTCTTACTCATGTGAATGTTAAGCCAGTCCCTGGAGCATAGTGAACACACAGCAAACATGAACTGAATGAACGAATCCATTGCCATGTAACAGGCACATCACAAGCAAACCTGGATTTCGCCGAGGCTTACGAAGATGTCTAAACACAGTAGTATTGGTCAGGCAAGCATCAGGAATGTAAAGGGTGTGACTCTCAAAAGCTGAAATGAACACTCATGATTGCACTTTCTTCATTGTGCCTATTTTTAAAAAAATCAGTCTGAAAAGAAAACTAAGCTACTAGCTTTATCTTATATTAATCAGAAATGTGGCTTAAAAGTCTGATCAGAGAGTAAAGAGTAAGAAGCCTTTCAGGAAAAGATGGGCCATAAAGAAGGCTCAGACCTCCATCCCAGCTTTTTCTGCGCCTCCTGTATGAAAATACAGGAGAGCCAGTATTTCCAGTGTCCTGTCTAACATTGTAATCGAAGAGATAGTTCATGAACTCTTTTTTCCCCCTTAGCATTACTTTTAGGACTAGAGGTGAACAAGCCTCATTTGTGTCATCTGGCTTTAGCCAAATGATGGGAAATTTAAATCTTATAGTAATAAATTTACATCTTATAATCTTAATCCCTGTATCACTAGAAATAAGATATGGAATTGATTTTCTTCTTGCAAAGGTGAATTCTCTGAGATGAAGTGAGAAGATGCAGGGCGCTTTAGGTTCTGCTTCACTTGTAGAATTCTGTAGCTAGAGTGATACCATTTATTTCTCTTTCCTTGGGGTTGCTGAGACAGGGTCTCTCTGTGTAGTCTTGGTTGTCCTGGAGCTTGCTGTGTAGAGCAGGCTGGCCTCGAACCTGGAGGTCTGCCTGCCTCTGCCTCCTGAGTGCTGGACTTAACAGGCATTCACAGTCATGGCCAGCTAAGGCTCATGAAGGGTCACACTGTACAGGATATATTGAAAAATAAACAAACAAATAAATAAATAAACTTTTATTTTTAGTGAATATCTTCAATAAGCATGTATTAGTCATATGAAACAAAACTTCCGTTGTGACTTTTCCATGTGTGCCTGTGATGTACTGTGACTCCTCATTCTTCTTCTGCTCACTAAGCACTCCATCTTTTGTTTTTGGTGAATAGGCTGCCTCTAAGAATCAGACTTCACTCTTGGGAGAACCACCAAAAGAAATTCGGCTCAGTACAAATCCGTATTTGAATTTGGCAAGTGTGTTACCCAGTGTGTGCCTATGTAAGTGAGGCCTGCGTCAGCACTGAGATTCCCCAAAGATACCTGTGATGAGTTCTACTTTCATCTTGACTTAGCTGAAGCTCAGGGTGCCTGTTGACAAAACTAAGCCCTAAGTGATGAGCCTACTCTTTACCAATAAGTCCATTATTTGAAAAAAATATGAAAACTAAAACACTTAAATCTTTACAACAGTATTTTTATTAAGGGCAGAATAATTTCATTCAATTATTAAGGCATGATTGCAAATAATGAAGGCAACACATTGCTTGAAGCACTATAGTCATTTTCAGTGTGGGTAGAATCATTCTAAACTAGAGATTGAAGCCGCTAAGTGACCTGGCCAAGGCATCCAGACACGTTACATATGTGAGTACCAGTCAGCAGCAATGGAATCTACATGGCCTTCAGCTAATAGGAGTCAGCTCTCACTCAAACACATTCCCCGCAAAAAAAAAAAAAAAAATTCAGTAATCAGATGAGAAACTGAGGGACACATTAATGCTGCCCAATAGGAGAGAGGCTGGATATGCAGAGCAGAACACTGTGACTTTAACATTTGATAGATAGATAGATAGATAGATAGATAGATAGATAGATAGATAGATATAGATATAGATATAGATATAGATATAGATATAGATATAGATATATCAGAGCGGGGCTTGGTGCTGCACACCTTTAATCCCAGCACTTGGGGAGGCAGAGGCAGAGGCAGGCAGATCTCTATGAGTTTGAGGCCAGCCTGGTCTACAAATCAAACCCAGGACAGCCAAGGCCACACAGAGAAACCCTGTCTTGAAAAATAAACAAAAATCAGACATCACTCATTTATGAAGTAGCCTCTAAAGCTGAATTTTAAGTGGAAAAAGTAAAAATGTGAGTCACATGACTGCAGTCACTATTAAAGCTCTGAGCTTAACCTGGGGAAATTGTAAACTGCAAGGAAGGAGATTAAAGATGAGTGTCATATTTAATATACATTTTTTGGCATTTTACAAAGTATCCCTTAAGCATTAATTTTAATTTTTCTAAAGCTTAAAAAAAGTGAGGTGTTCTTCTAGTATATCTGGAGCACACTGATCTCACCTGAAAATTGATATTGACAGCTAGTACCTTAATAAGGGTGTTTAATTTACATTTTGTATGCCTTGATGTAGAACAGTGGTTCTCAACCTGTGGGTTGGGACCCATTTAGGGGTCACATATTGGATAGCTCTGCGTATTAGATATTTACATTATGATTCAGGACAGTAGCAAAACTAAGTAGTCATGAAATCATTTTATGGTTGGGGGAGGGGGTCACCACAACATGAGGAACTGTATTAAGGGGTCACAGCATTAAGAAGGTTGAGAACCGCTGTTGTAGAGTATCTGTCTGTGGGGCTGAGTATATATAGAATTCAGAGGTAGAATGCTTCACTTGCGTTCTTGAGGCCTTGGTTTCAAGTCTCAATACAGAAAAAGAAATTTATATATTTATATGTGTGTGTATATATCAGAGGCTTCCATCATAACTATTTTACCTCTATGACAACCTTCCATTTTCAGTTGCTGAAATGAATGAAACGATACGTAATTCCTCCTGGAGAAAATAAACACAAATATATATTGGCAGCATGTTTGAAATAAGCTGAGTTCATGTGTTTTGTGCTGTTTGTAACTTAACAAATCACTGAATGGTCTTGCGTTTACCTTTAGCTGCTGCAGGGAAAGGCATGCCACAGAAGACTGGAATTGCAAGCAACATTCTGGACGCGATCTCTCAGGGAAGTGAGTCCCAGCCCACACTGGAGAAGTGCATCACTCATTCTCCACCTTTCGAGGATTATGCCCAGGTAAATAATGCGCAGGCCGCGACGGTGCAGGCAGGAACTGGGTCAGCTCTCCACTGCGGCCTCTGAGTGCAGACCATGACTGCCTTCACATTGTGAGGGTGCAGAGGGTGATCGCTCTTGCTCATCATTTGACATTTGGGAATAGGTTCAAGAAATTATTTAGGATTATTTTACACCAAATATTTCCCTCTTAAGAGTTTTACTAGTGGTCTTCAAGCTACAGCCCACAGACCACATCCAGCCCACCATGTATTTTTTTTTGTTGTACATAGCCACCTCTGTTCCTTTACGTATTTTCTATAGTGTTGCCATAGCCCAGGCTGGCCTTAAACTCCCAGCGCCTCAGTCTCCCAAGTGCTGGGCTTGTGTGTGTGCACCACCACACCCAGCTGTGTACCAAACTGATAGCATAAAAGAGGTGCCAACTCCTCAGCCTCTATGGGAAGTGTGCTCCAGGGCCCTGCTGGATGCCCACATCTCACCTCTATAGTGTTGTGTGTGCAGTCTTTCTGAGCAGATCTCCTTCATTCTTTGAGCCACTCTAGGTTACTTATAATAGCTGATGTCATGGAAATGCTGTGGAAATATTCTGTTCTTTAGGGAGCAAAAGCAAAGACGCTGCTTGTGTTTGTCCAGGTGCAGAGTTTTTCAAATATTTCCAGCACGCAGTTGGTTAAATGTGTGGAATATTATTCTAAATGATGTTCAGAAGTTCCACTGATGTGGTTAGGTAGTGGCCTGCTTAATTTAAAGAACGGGGGGGTCAGAGCTGATGTCATGAGGAAGACATTCTCCTGCTTAAGGTTCTAACTTTGTTAATGTACTCAGAAATGACATAGATAAGTGCACTGTTCATTGATTACATTTATATTTAATGAACAAAAGTTAAATTATAGATAAATAAAATAATTTATGAATAACACATAGTTGTGAAGATTAGAAACAACCAAAATATTCAACTAAGACTGAGCAAGCAAATTATTTACCAGAAAATACAACTTGGATTATTTAAAATGATATAAAATAATGTGGAAACATGTGATAAAATCTTCATGATCCATTGTGAAAATAATATTCACAAAATATAGTCCTATACAGTCCCAGTTTTTCTTTCTTCACAGAGAACAAAGTTTACTTTTCAAAGCAGGAGAAGTATAATGTTTTTAAGAATTTAGAGGAATGTGTATTTTAAGCCTCAAAGGTCTTTTTTTGTGCTGAGCTTTTCAATTTGGAGTTTGACTTTTGAAGTTGGTCTCCTTTGACTCAGCAGAGCCTGTTGTTAGATTGGGGTGGCTAAGCTGATGCTTGAGGGCCGTGCAGAGACCGATACTCACCTGTGGAGAGGTTCTGAGCTAGAGCCTTGCATCTCTGCACTTGAAACCCGTGTCACTTCCTTTGCAACATGCCCTAGTTTGCTTTTCCGTCGCTGTGATAAATGCCATGACCAAAAGCAACTTGGGGAAGAAAGGGTTTCTTTGCCTCCTACTTCCAGATCAGAATCCATCATTGAGGGAAGTCAGGGCAGAGGAACCTGATGGCAGAACCCACAGAGGAATGCTGCTCACTCTCTGGCTTGCTCAGCAGCTAGAAGATATATATATCTGTCTGTCTGTCTATCTACCAGTGTTTGGGGTGGGGTGGGGCAGTGCTGTCCAGTGTACTGGGCCCTCCTCATTAATCATTAGTCCAGACAGTCTCTTACAGACTTGGCCACAGGCCAGCATGATCTAGGCAGTTTCTCAGTTGAGGCTCCTTCTTCCTAGGTAATGCTAGGTTGTGACAGAACACAGTGTAAGCATTTATCACCATCATTATCATCATCATCATCAGAGCTGAGGGATTGAGCCAAAGGCTGTGTGTCTGTTAGGCAAGTGAGCTACTCTTCAGTTAGATCCCAACTTAATTTTTATTTTATTTTTTGTTTTGTTTTGTTTTTCAAGACAGGTTTTCTCTGTGTAGCCTTGGCTGTCCTGGACTCACTTTGTAGACCAGGCTGCCCTCAAATTCACAGAGATCCACCTGCCTTTGCCTCCCGAGTATGGGGATTAAAGGCGTGCTCCACTACGCCCAGCCCAACTTAGTTTTTAAACATTGTTTTAAAACAGTGCTGGGATTACCCTTAGGCTAGATGAATGGATATATACATATGTGTACATATGTACATATATATCACATGTAGTGTATATATGCAGTATATAGTATGTATAATTCACTATGTGTATTAAACAGTCCATCTTTCCACCATGCCTGTGAGTTTTAAACTGCCCTATTCATCAAGCAAGTGGGAGAGGCAAAGGCACAGTTAACCCTCCACATTTGCAGCTTGCAAATGATCTCTCAGACAGCAAAATCCATGTAGCTATGGTAGTAACTCCCAGAAACTCTGTTCAGGTTCTTGTGCCTAAGGACTGGGAGAGAAGGAGAGTAGATGACATGATCTCCCTTTTAAGTAAAGCTGTCACATTTAAGGATTTGATATTCGGTATTTCTCACGATCGAGTTATTTGCAGAAGCCCCTGATACGACCTGGAGACTTGACAAAAGTAACTGCTATTTGAAAGTTTGGGGAATAAGCAGTAAAAAGTGAAGGAAGTCAGGTCCTGACTGTTATGCCAGGATTACGGGACCCTCAGAGACCACCAGGAGACGACTCGATGCAAGAGCAAGAGAGCTTTATTACGAGAGATTAACTCGGGAGGGACCCAGGTCTCACTGACCCAACAGTAGACATGTGGGACTTCGAGCCCTGAGTGATCGGGGTTTTTAAAGGGAAAAACTGTAAGCAGGGGGTTTCCATGACAGCAAGCAGGGGGTTCATGCCTTGACGTTACAGGATTGGGTAAAAGCCATAGGGGCAAGGTGACCTTTTACATAATCACAATTGCCATTCTTCTAAACTACATCTGGAACGTGGGAAGAATTTTCTCAACCAATTCTCATTGATTATTGCCAGGGAAATTGTCTCTATTTTCTATCAAGTATTTATTCTGTGATATTTCCTGGAGACTGTTGCTAGGAGAGTTAACTTTGTTTTCTGCCAAGTGCATATTCTGTGATATTTCCTGGTACCTGAGTTCAGCTCCTGGTCAAGGTGGCTCCTCATTTCAAAATGGAGTCACCCAGGCTAACTTAAACTCTTCAGACAGAGGGGAATTCCCCTGGATGAAAGCCATGTTTGTGTGGCTCTTTCCTTGACTCCTTTCTCTATTCCAAATCTGCAGTCCTGCTGGCCTGGGAGGTCACAGAGGAAGCTCTAAAGGGAGAGGTCCTGGGACAGAGGGACTCATGTGGGTAGGAGCCCCAAAGTCATCATGCAAATGGCCCAAACACACTTGGCTGACCACTGAAGCTCTGGTGTGAGGGAGATGCCAAGAGAGCCACAGCTTGATAGCCATGAAGCCTAGTGGAGAGGAGAGATGTGGAGTTTGAACATAGCAAATTTAACTTCTAGAACAGTGGTTCTCAGCCTGTGGGTCATGACCCCTTTGCCTGACCCTTCACAGGGGTCGCCTAAGACCATCAGAAAACACAGATCTTTACATTACAATCACAGCAGTAGCAGAATTACAGTTATGAAGTAGCAGCGAAAATAATTTTATGGTTGGGGCTCCCCACAACATATGAGGGACTGTATTAAAGGGTCACTTCATTAGGAAGGTTGAGAAGCTGCTCTAGAACAAAATATCCTCTTCAGAAGACGATAATGGAATTCATGCTTTTTACACTTTCCATTCTCTGTGCCCAATAATTAAAAATTACTCTGGGGAGGGGCTTATGGGGGGATACAAAATGAATAAAATGTAATTAATAAAAAATAAAAAAAGTTAAAAAAAATTACTCTGAAGCTGGGGCTAGACAGAGCACTGTTAAGAGCACTGGCTGTTCTTTCAGAGGACCTGGGCGTGATTCTCAGAACCCACACGGCAGTGTGCACAACTGTCTCTTAACTCCACTGCCTAGGATCCAGCACCCTTTTCTGGCCTCCATGGGCTCCACACACACATGCAGTGCACAGACATACAAGCAGGTTAAACACCTGTACACATAAGACAAAATTAAAAGTTACACAAGGAAGACAGATCCGTGATGCCCAGGTGTTGATATTAGGAAACAATGCCATTAAAACAAATGTGGCAACAACATAAAAACATCCTGACAGATACGGGATCTCAGAAAGAGATACACATTTAAAACGAACTGAGTCATTCTAGAACTGACAGGAGTTACTTGGGGTTTGGTTTTGTTTCTTTTCTGGTTGGTTGTTTGGTTGATTGGTTGTTGGTTTTGGTTGTTGGTTGGTTTTTTTCAAGCCAGGGTTTTTCTGTGTAGCTCTGACTGTCCTGGAACTTGCTGTGTAGACCAGTCTGACCTCGAACTCAGAGATCTGCCTTTTTAAGTGCTGGGATTAAAAGCCTGCACCACCACCACCTGGCAGTTGTTTTGTGGTATTAAAAATCACATTAGATGGTAAAAGCACAGGACTAAAAAAACAGGAAGAAAAGATTCCCTACTAATAAAGCAGCAGGAAGAAGAGAGATTAGATTGGAAACCAGTCAAAAGAGTATATCAGATCTGGAGCTGGAGCCGTCCAGTGTGGGTGCTGGGAACTGAACCAAGCTTCTCTGCAAGAGCAGTGTACACCCGTAACTGTTGAGCCATCCTGCTAGCCCCTGGATTCTGATACCTTAGAAACAAACCTTAACTAAGCTAAATAGAGGACTGTCCGAAATAGAGGAAGCGCATTTACTCAGTGTTCAGAAGTTTCAAAGTGTGTATACAAGTTAAACTGCTGGTTTCTAGTCTAGAGCTAATTAGAAGCCAGTTTTAAATGGGCTCCCCTACCCATTTTACTGGCTGTAGTTACTAGGATCACCACTGAGATGCTGCTGATTTTTCCAAAACCCTACATGTCGTAAGTATTTGAAGTGAACTATGAAAAGCGAAGCCAAAACCAAATGTAGTTATTTTAAACTCCAATAGTGTTACAATCTGAAGGATCTTCTTAATTTGGACATGCACAGTTTGAAATTTCAGATTCTGAGGTAAAGATGACCAGGTCTGTCTGCATCAGATGGCTGTTAGGAGCCCTTGTTACAGGAGACTATGAGCCAGCTTATTAAATATTTATTTAATACGTGAGGATAACTTCCTAACTATAATCTGACAAAACAATAGGATGTCCCTGCCCTCTCCCTTTTATTAAACTGGAAGTAACAGGCCAGCATTTATCAGTGGCTTTTTAGCATAACAAAATCACTAGTTTCAGTAATTTGAGGGGTAATTTAGGAATTCCTTCACCGTTTTCTGTGACCATTAAACTGTGATGGGTTTTTCCTTCCACACTTGGCTTGCTGGCAGCTACCTGGCTCACTGTCAGGAGTGTTTTGCACTGCTGAGCCATAGTCTTGTGTTTCCCTGGCTACAGCCATCTTTCCTAGTGGAAAGCTGGCTGCCCAACCTTAGGGAATCAGCCATAGAATGTGGGATGAGTTGGGGTGGGCACAAACCCAGCAATGAACAAAAAAAAAAAAGCTGTGAAGAGGCTGGGGCTCTCCTTAGCCTAATGCTGCCACCTAGTGGAGAAATAGTGCAAAATGCCCATGACAACAGCATCTGCAGACCCATGTAGACCTTTCGGGGACACTCATTCAATTGTACCATTATATGAACTTTTAAGTGTATATGTTTTACAGCGGTGGCCACTGAGACTTGGGTGATTTCAACTTTTAAAGATGTGACACAGTGACTTCTGGCAGGTGAATTTGGGGGCAGATATGAGGCTTGTAGACACAGGTGTCGGTCATACGGTAAGAAGAGCAAATGCAGAGGTACGTGAGGCAGACATGCTTGCCATGTTATAAAGGAAGGAGGAGAGAGAGAGAGGGGCCGAGTGCCCAGTCAGGAGAGCCTGAGCAACATGGAAAGTGATGTCACAGTGGGTGGAGACAGGACACACAGGTTAAGGCCTTTGTGGGCCCTTGTATGTACTTAGGGTTGTACTTTGCACTGTGACCGCAGAGCGTAGCACCCGGGAGGAAACAGTTGCAGTGCAAATAAAAATGTTGCTGCGTGGACCCTGGAGCACAGTGGCTGACAGGGAACAAAGGGGATTGAGAAAAGAGTATGCTGAGGGTGGAAGTTCGAATGGCCCAAGGTCTGGGGCCTGGAAAAATGGAATTGTCACTGGCTGGGATGGGTAGGAACGTGAGTGGAATGGGCTGTGGAGGGCTGGGAGGAGGCTTAGTTTGTGTGACGGGTCCAGGGTGATGTTTGCTGTTGCTCGGTCATCACACAAGTCTGGATGTGGGGGAGAATGTTGTTTGGTACAAATTACGTGGCTGGTTGAGATCGGCAAGGAATGGGGGTAAAGGAAGAGTCTAGAAATCACTAACTGTGCATTTCTCATCTTCTTGGTGAAATAAATATCTAAGAGTGAAGACGCTGAGTTCCCCTGTGGGAGGTTGGAGGAGAGTGGAGAGCGATTCCACTCGGGACCACCCAAGCACTAGGAAACTTAGTGATGTTATAACTATGGCACCCTGAACATCTCAGCCTGTGTTGTGATTCCAAAGATCAGAATCCTAGGGCAGAATCATGCTAGGCAGTTTTTCCTCACCCTGAAGAGAGCCCTGCTGAAGATGAAAGTGTTCACACCGATGGGTCAATGATTCTTTGGGGAATGTAAATATCCCAGTGCAGCTTCACCAAAGCAGCAGGTTAGTGTGTGTGTGTGTGTGTGCGCGCGCGCGCGTGCGTGAGTGTGTGAGACGAGGGTGTCCGATCCCTTAGAAAGGATCTGGACTTAGAAAGGATTGTGAGCTCACTAGTATGGCTGCTGGGACATGAACCTGGTCCTCTGGAAGAGCGGTATACCTGCTGGATTTGTGTGTCATCAGACAGGAAAGAGCCTCAGTTGAGGAAAACCCTCCATGAGATCCAGCTGTGAGGCATCTGTTCAATTAGTGACCAGTGGGGGAGGACCCAGCTCATGGCGGGTAGAGCCATCCCTGGGCTGGTGGTCCTAGGTTCTTTGAGAAAGCAGGCTGAGCAGGACATGGGGAGCAAGCCAGTAAGCAGCACTCCACTCCATGGCCTCTGCATTGCCTCCTGCCTCCAGGTTTCTGCCCTGCTTGTGTTCCTGAGTGTAAGCTGAATAAACCCTTACCTCCCCAACTTGCTTTTCGGTCACGGTGTTTTGTCATCATAGAAACCTAGAGACAGCAGCAAGTGCTCTTTCTTACCCATGGAGCCATCTTTCCAGCCCACACTTTTTTAATTGTTGAGACATGATCTTACCACATGGCCCCCAGCTAGCCCATAAATTCAGACATCCCCCTGCCTCAGAATCATCCTTCTCCCACTTCTGTGTAAGCACCCATGCCATTTTCATTTCCCATTCTTACTAATGTTTTTCTGCGCAACTCTGATGTTCATGCTCATCTCTTCAATCTCAGTTTGTTCAGTGGATGGGGTAAGAACCATTTGAATAAGAACGTCTAGGGTCCACCTGGTTTGGCAGAAAACTGACCTATAAGGGGGACAGTTCAAACTGTTGCTTTAAGAAACTGACACACGAATTACCATACAGTATGGGGAGGGGGTATGGGGAGGGCTCTGGCCACTGTAACATACATTTGCCTCTTACCCTTCATCTTTGGGAAGATCTCATTTACAGAATGGCAGCTCCTTTGTAAGAGGAAGAAAGGTAAGGCTGTGCTCCTGGAAGGGTCAACTGTGTTGGTGGGGTGAGGCCCAGCAAGCAGCAAGTGTCTATTTCAGACAAAGTTGCTGGAAAAGAAGTCTGGGCTAGTAGTAAGGCAGCACCGACTCCCAACCTACAGCCAGCTGAGTTTCATCCATGTCCCTCCATGATTTCCAAGCAAATGCTAATCTGTGTTTGGCCTTATGAATATTCCTTAGTGCAGAGGTTCTCAACCTTAATGCTGTGACCCTTTAATACAGTTTGTGGTGACCTCCAGCTAAAATTACTTTCATTGCTACTTTATTAACTGTAGCTTCGCTACTGTTAGGATGGTAATGTAAATATCTGATATGCAGGGTATTTGACCCACAGATTGAGAAACAAGCCTTGGACCAAGGTTATAGGAGGATAATACCAATGCAGGGAGCCTAGCTTTCAGTGTTCTGTCATTCTGGCCCCCTGCCCCTTTTTTCTTAATGCTCAGGATCAAATCAAACCCAAGGCAACTGCTGTGCCACTGAGCAACCCATGAGCTCTCATGCCTCTTCTTGACAGAGTGATGGAGGGACAAAGGCTGTCATTGTGCTGCAGCCTCTTCTCTTGTAAGGTTTTAAAAAGGACAGTTGCTGATTCAGAGACCATGCATGGGAGAAATCTCCAGTGTTGTTAAACTGACCGCTTCCCTGTCAGCTCTTCTCACACTGCGTATCTGGGTTGTGTAATGGCCTTAACAAGCACCTCAGGCTGTGCTGTCCAGTGGCCTGTTATGGGAAATGTTAGGCCCCTTCCGGACCACACTCTTGAAAGTGATCATTTGGGGCCCCAAAGTTTTGAGATCCCACTACTCTTGATAGTGCTATCATTTTCCCCGACATCACTCAACCAGTTCTTCCGCCCAGTTGGGAGGCAGACTTTAACATGCTTCCTCATACAGGTCCACTCTTCAGCCTGCCTCCTCCATCAGAAACACTGACTCAGGTATGAACTGGAGCAGTTTCCTTCTCCCACATCCCAAGACTGAGGTGAGGGCTCAGAGGTCTGGCTCGTGTTCTGGAAGGGTTCTGGATATGACTGCTTTGTTCTGTGGTGCTGGGACGGAATACAGGGCCTCCTGCATGCCAGGAGGCTGCTCTCTCCACAGGCGCTTTCTATTAAGATTTGAAAGTCTAATTCCTGTAACAAAGGTGTTTGTGCATTTCTTGATAGTTTTGGCATTCTGTGATTCTAGTCACACCAACTCCAGGTGTCTTTGAGGCATCTTACAGACCTCTTCACTGCCTTTCTCACAGGTATCTTCTCTGAGAAATGAGAAGCGAGGCTCCTCCTATCTCATCTCTGCCCCAGAAGCGGGCCCAGTAGAAGTGGCTGGCCAGCACCCTCAGGACACAGGCGTGAGCTACACAGAGACCTACTTGAAAAAGAAGCGTGTGTACTGAGCTGGGTGGCTCCTGCCACCTGCGGCGGTGCTCCGGAGGGGCTGCTGCTCATCGCTGCCTTAACTTCATTCACACTAGCCATATCCTTTCAATACGGGTTTCTGACTTCCTAAAAGGAACTGTCATGCAGCAGGCAGATCAGCCAAATACCCGACTAGCAATAAGAAACGTCACTGGCTGAGGGCATTTCCCACTAGCATTACATGTGTCTTAACCCATGTGGTAACGACTCTGCTCACCAGAAACTCAGCATTCCAATAGTCCTTGTTTCGGGCCTGGGAACAATTTTGACATCATATATGAGTCTGAAGCAATAAATGGGAAACTGTTGTTTCCTTAGCCTTAGGATGAATTTATCAGCCGATGTGCATTTACCATACTCTCCCTAGAATACCCTCATCTGTCTGTCCTCATACTCCAAGGGCGGCAGTCCCACCCATGCAGGGGCGATACTAGACAGACGCTCTCGTGTTGACGCCATTAGCGCCACAAGGCCACTCAGTACCAACTCAGTGCAGAGTGACGGCAACATCACTTCAGATGTTTAACCTATGAGGTGTCACTTACAATTTATACCTTTTGTGGAAACAGTATTACAGGAAAAGTAACTTCGGTTAAATAAATGCAAGGGTTAGCAAAGTACAGACGAGGGCCACATGGAATCCTCCACCTAGCTCTGTGTTGCCCGTGGACCAGTGATTACATGTCTACATGTCTGGAGCTAAGGGAGAACTTCAACACGGAACTGCGATTTCATTGTCCCCAAGATTGCATTTGGAACACAGTGAAGCGCACTCATTTACACAATGGGAACAGAGAGCCTCTCCCATCCTTCCTAAGGTTTGCTGACCTGTCTCCCTATTCCTTTTATCTATGTAAGACATGTGGATGGCATGGAGGCTAGGTTTCTATGCCATTCCACAGCATACAGGAGTGAAGGTCTCATTAGACAGGGCCATGACATGGCAGAGCTGTCCACACCGCCACTTCTGAGGGAGTATATGGGACAATTCTGAGCTAATAAGCTCTACCTCACTCTGGTTTATTAGTCATTCTTTGGTAGTTAAGCTGAGAGACAATGGATATTTAATCCAATTTACTTCTGAAAGAATGTTTGTCTTTATTAATGTGACTTTTGACCTCACCATTTTCTGAAGATCTTAGTGTTGAGAGGGACCTTTTTTCCATCTAGAAATGTCTGTTTGTTCATCGTAAAGAGACTCTAACCAATAAAGTTTGGGGTCTCAGTGATCCTAGTCTGTAGGATCAGATCATTAAAATACCTTATTTGGGGGACTTATCATTTTTGACTACGATATAGATCTCCAGCATTAATTGTAATGTCTAAAACTGCTACATGTTATATGCTTTATAATGAATATTAGTTGGGCTAACTTATTACATATACCAGCTTCCACTGAAAAATGACAGCTGAAAATTTAAGACAATCCTAAGCATACTACCTATAAATGACTGACCACTATGAGGCACACAGCAGATGACTAATGGCTTGTCCATGCCCTGCACTTCCCCTGCCTTTTGCTGTCTTCACGTGAACGGAGCATGGGAAGGATTGTGACTGCTACATTGGAGCTGTAAAGTGAGGAGGAAACAGCAGAGGGAATGTAAAGACGCTTTCCATTACATGTGGGTCCTCCTCCATACCAGCCTGTGCCCATTATTACTGGACAGAAGAGAAGTGCAAATCAAGTGACGTTAGTACAAGGTCATTACAACCAACCCCCAGAAATCTAGGCTGTTATTTTTCTATGTCACCTAATGTTTTGAAATGTTTCAAAATGCAAGCTTAATATTAAAAGGCATATGCATGTGAAGTCTTTAGTATGTTTATTGTATAAAGAGTAAACAAAGTGCATACAGAGCAGGCCACAGGTTTGACATAAACCGGGACTATGGTGATATATAGCAACTAAACAAATTTAAATGGCAACTGTTCTGTTGCTACTAAAGTGATCTTGAATTCTTTGTGGGAGGGGGCTCAAAAGCTGAAAAATATCAAACAAGTACTAGACAGCATTAATAAGTTTGCCAGACTCTTGGTCATGAAGAACTTTATGGTGCACGTTGAATCAGAAACTGAACATTGCTGATTACCTAGAAACCTCCAAGCAAACTGAGACCTGCCTCATGAATTCTGAACTCCAGTCTGGTGCGCCTCTGGCTGGGTCTTCTCTTTGTAGTTTTGCAGTATAGGGTAAGGGTCAAAACGGCGACTAGCTTTTGTAGATGGTGTTGTCTTCTGTTTGACAGCTTGCTCCCAGGCAGTAGTTATGAAGAGGTATGCACTGGTATTCTTAAAGGCAGGTGTGATAGCGTCCAGGTCAGAGGAGTCTGATGGAAGCAGGCTGTGCAGGAAAGCATGGACACAGGCCTAGTTCTCAAGAAGTCCCATGCAGAGTGTCTATGCCAGGCTATCTCCTGCAGAACCAGTTTGTCCCACAGTGGGTACCAGTGCTCAGCCAACGGAACAGCAGCTGGGCTACTGCACAGACAGCCTAAGATTGCGTCCCACTGGATAGCAGGAATAGACTCTTTTTTTTAATAGGAACTATAGTATACCAAGCGGTACCTACTCAATTGGACTATCACTGTATAGATACTAAGATTTCAGGGCAAGGGAGAGGTTCAGCCAAGTCCACCAGTTTTTATCTAAGATCAATATGCCAGCAAAAAAAGAGTGCCAGAAGTCCTGTGCTACGCAACTGGTCATACGGTATTTCCAAAAGGAGTGCTTAGGCACATTCTTAGTATTTTGGTTGTTGTTATTCCTCACTAAATTTAAGATGTGGCAACTTTAAAGAGAAATTGTCACACATTGAGTGACAGTGTGACATATGCATGTATACATAACTCAAGTTTTTGTTGAGCAACTTTTTAGGCAGAATACAAACTTTTTCATTTTAAAAAAGTTTCTAAATGGCTTGGGAGAGAAGGACTTGATAAATGGGAATTTAAATGTTACCCATGCTTCTTATTTTAAAAGTGCTTCAAATCCTTCAATGAGGTTCTGAAAGGTCGTCCGATTAGATGGTTGGAATTCCCAGCATTTTCTCATAAGCTGATAAACCTATGAAAAATAAAAGCAAGAACAGTACAAATAATGACATATTTGTGAGATTAAAAAAAAAATAAGAGTGGCTGGAGCGATGGCTCAGTGGATAAAGTACTTGTCCCACAAGTGTAACAGAAGTTCAGTGCCATGGCACAAAAATACACATATAAAGAGGCCAGGTAGGTGCAGAAGCTGTAGGGCAAACTGGCCGGACAGGAGGGCTAGCTTCAGGAAGACCCTGCCTTAGTAAGCAAAAACCAGGGCAACCAAGGAAGACACACTACCTCAATCTCTGGCATCCACAAGTGCCCACACATTAAAAAACATGTATACTTGTATGCACATATAAGCATGCACGCAACAGCATACTCAGATGAAAACACAACATTAACAAAGAATAAGAAAATAAGTTTGAGAATGTTAGAAAACTGCCTCTCCATAAAAGGACTAAAGAATGGAGTATCTGAATAATTTAACAGAAAAAAAATGTTCATAAATGGTATTAACATTTGATTAACTCACAGGTTGACCTTCAACAGAATCCAGGTCACTATTGCGACCCAGTGAGAGGGGAAGGCAGCTCTCACAGTTAAAGAGCCGAGAGCTGAAAGGCTTGCTCCAATTTAGAATATAGAAAACTGAAAATATTATACAAAGTATTATACAAGCAATCGCAAGACCTCACTGCAAGTGTTCTCTGGGAAGGCAGGTGAACAGACATGCAGGGGATTGAGGGTACAGCTCCCCAAGAGGAGCTCTGCTTGAACACTGCTACCATCCACCCGGAGGGTAATTTCTCAAATGTCTTTTCTAACGTGGATGCTGGAGACCGAACCTTGGTCCTCTGAAAAAGTAGCAAGATTCTTAACTCTCCAGCCAGATTAAGGTTCTTCTGCTCCCTTCCCCTCCCTGAAATATTGAAAAGAAAGTTTCATTCCCATGAAGGGGACACACCTACCTCTTCAGGACAGTTGGGTGGACACGGCAAGCGCTTTCCTTCTTTCAGAGTATTCACAAGCCGAGTTACTGTCATCTGGCCATGAGTTGGGCCTATCATTTTCAGGAACAACTATGTAAAATAAAAACCAAACAAAATTAAGGTGAAGCTTCCAGAACTAACAAAAGCAACAAAGCTTTTCTCCAATAAATGAAAATCTAAAACCTTTATTTGCTCTCGAGGATCGGTCTATAAGCAACATCTGAGGGAGCAATCACAGCTGTCAGTGAAGTGAAAACAAAGCCCCTGCCTAGTGCTCAGGGCTCATCACCCTCTTAAGATGGCCCTCACCCTAAAAATCTGGGTCATCAAAGAGAAATTCTGCACTTGTGAAGGCAAACTTTGCCAGACCTTGCCAAGTAACAAGCCAGGCCAAATGGAACTTGACTATAATCCTCTCTGTGTGGCACTCTAACTGGACTCCATGTAAAGCACAACTTGAGAGGAGAGCAGGGGCTTGGGGCGGTTAATACTTACAGTCATGGGACTAAAGTCTGAGTCACAGTAGGTGAGCAGCTCATGCAGTGTCACTCCAAAAGACCAGACGTCAGAGGCGATGTAAAACTTACACTGGATTAAACATTCCGGAGCGTACCTGAAAGAAAAGCAGGGGATGAGCCTTTATTTCTTCTAAAAATGACAGGGTAGGTTCCTGAGGAAAGCCACTTCTCTGGTGGACTGTGGAGTGCCAGTCCATCTGTGCTGCCATGGTGCATGTCTGACGTATGAAGCAGCAACCTAATGGCTCACAGCAGCATGTTACTTGCCTTCAAATGGAAGACTTGTGTTCCTCATGTTCCAGGGAACATTCTTTTGGGGAGGGAACAGCCCCCTGAAGACTAGCCCCAAGTCATATCCCTGCAAACTCAGAAGCAATGTCCTCTCTGGTGTATGTCCAAGTGCCCATACCAGGTGTCAGGGCACCCCAGAATTGATTTCCTGAACATTCCTCAGACAGATCCACTTCCCACTGTCCCAACCACCAGTTCCCAGTCGTGTGGCTCCTATCTGGGTTACTGAAGCAGCTGAACTGGATTCCCTTGTTCCTTTTTGTTCCCTTCTATGGTGACCTTCAGCACAAACTCTATCTTTCAACTTCCTGGTGGCTTCTACTGGGGTGAAGTCCTGGCTCCCAAACTCGGGTTCTTCAGCTCTGACTCAGCCACCCACTACAAACCTGCCCAATGACTCCCTACATTTCAGTTCCCCTCTCATTGTCAGCAGCACAGCACAGGCCTCCTACCCCCAGCTCCCCAGGCCCCCAAATCTTTGAGCTTTTACCCAAACATGCAGCATCTTTCAAAAGCCATGCCCAAAGCTTGTGCCACTGCTCCACAAAATTAGCTGCCTCAACCATAATACAGGACTCACTGGCTGGGTCACCATATCTTCAGCCTTTGGCATAAACAAGGGCCTCAAAACACTTTTTAAAACGAGAAAAAAAGTATATATATATGCCTTGCTGGTGCGGAGGGCCGTGTGTTTGCTGCAGAACACAGGCAGCTTTCCCCAGGAGAGTGCTCTGGGCTGAGAGACTGCAGTGGTCAGTGTGTGGCTCTCTAACTAGGATGGTTCCTCTAACTGGTGGGAACTGTGCTTGGTGCTGCCTGCTCACATGAAGCTACAGAGGCTGAAATGATGATAGCCAGACTTCTTCCATTCTTAGAAAGCTGGTGCTTTGAGTAAAAGCTCAGCTTTGAGTAGAGCAGCTGACGAACAAACACCCAGGCATGGCTAGATAGAACCCTTCCAAACAATGCTAACCTATGAAGCACTGATGAGATGATTCACATACCAAAACACTGGGCTGTCTCGGTCATCTTTGACTGTGTAGTACTCCTTATCAGTTTCAATTGCTTTGGTTAAACCAAAGTCTCCGATCTTCACTTGGTGTTCACTTTCAACAAGCACATTTCTTGCTGCTAAGTCTCGGTGAACATACTGTCGAGAACCCAAATAGTCCATCCCCTACGAAAGAAGTGTGGATCAGGCGTACTGCAAAGGTGATCGTACTGTTGAGAACCCAGACAGTCCTCCCCTAAGAGAGGTGTGGATCAGGCCCACTGCAAGTCACTTCACATTGTGTTTAATCTTCCACTCCACAATTGTGAAACAAAACACAACATCATTTTGCTCCCATATCACTAACAGTTTTTGTTGTTATAAGATTAAACAATCCAAAACTTAAAAGTCCAACTGAAGCTGTTGGACTTCACAAACCCACTGTCTTGTGTGATATTTCATGCAAATGGTACAGAATAGAAAACTCAATTCAGTTATTACACAGTCTCCCACTGAGGTCCTACTGACCAATTACCCAGTATACAATCCCTGCTTTAAAAAAAAAAAAAAAACATACTTTTTTTGTTTGTGTTTTTACCTTACAAATCTGTATGGCATATTTTAGCTGCTGTTTGAGGTTAATTTTGTTCTTATTCTTTGGCAGATACTCCTTTAGGCTTCCCGAAGGCAGAAATTCCATGATGAGCTTGATACCATTCCCTCCTGTTCAGGAGAAACTGGCATCAAGATGAGGCTGAAAACAGGATGAGCATGGGGGCTCTGCAGAAAGGGCCTGGAGGAGTTTCAGCTTAGCCTCTGAAGCAGGGGAAGAACCTATCCACTGGCACATAGACACTTCAACAGTAAACAGGTGTCATGTCTCCGTTCCTGCCTGCAGCCCAAACCGGGTTCAGGATAATGCAGCCCTCGTGCTTTGTACATCACTAGACGAACGTTAGTTTTAAAGTTAGAGCCCATACCCT